ACCCTATAATGATATTGGTCAAGCTAAGGAAATCATACTTTCCTATTTTTTGATCTAATTATTTACAAAAGACCAGGATCAAATGTCCACCCTGTTACAGAACAAGCTTATCCGTAGTTAGTGTTTTGTAATTATTTATATTTTGACTTGACTCAACTTTGCCTTTTAAGTGCATTTAAAAAAAACAATAATAAACTTACATTAACTTGAAAAGACGTGTAGTCACAATGTAATTTCAACTGATAGAAGGCCATTTCATCAAAACTTTGCTCCATTTCTTATTGATTGATTGAAGTAATTTACATCATTAAGTAACGGGGGACAGTGACAGTGGCACATTCAGTTCCCATGATGAGATTAATGAAATAATAAATACTGACCTACTGTTACACAAAATGTACCACATTATGACATGGGGACTCAAAAGGCACTGAATAGAATGACACAGTATTTATTTTAACAGAATAAAAAAACTATGACTAAAAGAGTTTTTATTCAGGAAAGTGACATGAACCATATACGGTTATTTGACAATTAGGCCTACTATACAGAAATAAACTGCACCTTTTTTAGATTATTAATACAATTTATGACTAGAAATGTTCAAAGTTAACCTTTGACATCAGGTTGAACTCAAAGTTATTTTGGTTTAAATTTATTTATGTATAAAGTTTAGATCTATAGGTGCATTTTAAGGACATATTCTCAGTCAGCAGTAAGGAAAGGCATACTAAGACTGCTCCGACAGATTCAACAGGGAGCTGATGTAAAACGGTTACAGTAAAGCTGATGCTCTGACATGAAATGACAGTCTGTGTCAGTTCTTTACCACCATCTTCATCGGCATGGCTGCACTCTGCTTGCGCTGAGGCCAGAGGCAGGGCCTGCAGCTGGGCCTGCTCGCTCCCCGAGGACTCAGCTGAAATATCAGCGCTTTTTTAGCTTTTATTATTCATGCAGCCGAAGCCGTGTTCTCCAGAGAACACGTGTGCAACTGACCATGACTTTGTGACAGATCTGCTGTCCATCATCAGAGTTATTTTGTGTTATTAGCTGCCTGGCCTGATGCTGCAGCGAGGACTGGAGGAACTTTGATCTCCCTCTGCTGGTGAAGGTTGGACTCAGGTCATTGATATTCTGGGCAGAGCCTCTCCCATTGATCTTCATTCAGAAAGACAGAAGACTGCAGCAGCAGGAGAGCCACGCTGTGTGTGTGTGTGTGTGTGTGTGTGTGTGTGTG